CTCCTCTCTATCGTTGCTGCAGCGAGAGACGCAGACCAGCAGCATCACCAGAAGAAGCTGCTGCTGCTGCTGCTGCTGCTGCTGCTGACCCATGCTGCAACACTAACAACACCTGCAACGCCACCAGCAGCAACAGCAGCAGCAGCAGCAGCAGCAGCAACACCAGCAGCAGCAGCGGGAACGGAGGAGCCGATAGCAGCACCACGCCGATCCCCATAAACCCCCTTGCAGACAGCAGCAGCAGCACCAGCAGCAGCACCAGCACCAGCAGCAGCAGCAGCAGCAGCAGCAGCAGCAGCAGCAGCAACCCACCTATGGTGTTAGAGAGGAGCTGGATCGCTATCACCAGCGACGTGGGGTGGGGTTGCACCATCCGGACAGCTCAGATGCTGCTGCTGCAGGCGCTGCGGCGGCATTTCTTTGAGTCAGGCCCAGCAGCAGCAGCAGCAGCAGCAGCAGCAGCAGCAACAGCAGCAGCAGCAGGAGGCAGAAGCAGCAACAGAAGCAGCAGCAGCATTGGGAGATATGAACAAGGATTCTCGGGCGCAGCAACTGGTAAACCACAAGAAGAACTGCAGCAGCAACAACAGCAGCAGCAGCAGCAGCAGCAGCAGCAGCAGCAGCAGCAGCAGCAGCAGCAGCAAGAAGAAGATACCGACGGCTCAATCCCTTTTGCAGTTCCCTACCTAAACCACCAAGAGGACCCCTTCAGCACCACCACCACCACCACCACAACCACCAGCAGCAGCAGCAACAGCAACAGCAGCAGCAGCAGCAGCAGCAGCAGCAGCAGCAGCAGCAAGACATACACCGAAGTAGATCTGCTGCGGTGGTTCCTTGACGTTCCCTCTCCCCCTGATGAATATCCTTTTTCTATATTTTCTTTTGTAAGAGCTGCTGGCGGCGGCGTGGGCTGGGCGCGGGCTCTCTATGGCCGCATGGCAGCAGAAGAAGCTTTGCTGCAGCAGCAGCAGCAGCAGCAGCAGCAGCAGCAGCAGCAGCAGCGGGACAGGGAGAGGGAGAGGGAGAGGCAGCGGGAGGGGCAGCAAAGACACAGACACAGAGATGCAGCAACTGATACAGAAAAGAAAGAAAAACGGATGCACATGCAGCAGCAACACACTGCAGCAGCAGCAGCAGCAGCAGCAACAGCAGCAACAGCAGCAGCAGCAGCAGAAGCAGAAGAGGACCTGCTGCAGCAGCAAAGTGTAACTGAAAAAACACTGCTGCTGCAGCAACGCCATGGAGCATTTGCTGCTGCAGCAAAAGCAGCTGCAGCGGCTGCTGCAGCAGATCCAACAGCAGCAGCAGCAGCAACAGATAATACTCCACTTGCTGCTGCTGCTGCTGCTGCTGCTGCAACGCATGAGGATGGTGCTGGCCCCGTGTCTGCTGCATCTGCAGCAGCGCCTGCAGTAGCTGGCGCAGCAGCAGCTGCAGCAGCAGCAGCAGCAGCAGCAGCAGCAGGAGAAGCACCCTCAGCAGCAGCAGCTGAACATATGACAGCAAGCAAATCTGCAGCACAAATCGAGGCAGCAGCAGCAGACGCAGCAGCAGCAGCAGCAACAGCAGCAGCAGCAGCAACAGCAGCAGCAGCAGCAGTGCCTACCGACGCAGCATTTTTGCCTTCTGCTGCTCTCCCCGCGGCGATACAGCAGCAGCAGCAGCAGCAGCAGCAGCAGCAGCATGTTGCGTTCCATCAGCAGCAGCAGCAGCAGCAGCAGCAGCAGGTATACCATCCGTCTGGTGTGCAGCAGCATGAGCATCCCCCACACCATCCGCAGCACCCCCCACCTCCTCCTCCTCCTCCTCCTCCTCCTCAGCAGCAGCAGCAGCAGCAGACAGCAGCAGCAGCAGCAGCAGCAGCAGCAGCAGCAGGGGGTCCCCCTGCTGTCGTGCTAGACAGAGGAGTGAGCGCGGTGCATTCTGCTGCTATAATAAAATTTGCTGGGGACTGGTTCGGCCCCACAACGGCCTCAGCAGCAATCAAGCTGCTCGTTGAGTCCTCGCCCTTTACAGCTGTAAGCAGCAGCAGCAGCAGCAGCAGCAGCAGCTGCTGCTGCTGCTGCAGCAGCGGGAGCAGCGGGAGTGGGAGTGGGAGTGGGAGTGGGAGCGCGGGGTGGTTGTGCTGCTGCTGCTGCTGATGATGATATGCACACTTTTTAAACTGCAGCAGAAATATTCTGCTGCTGCTGTTGCTGCTGCTGCTGTAACAGCAGCAGCAGCAGCAGCAGCAGCAGCAGCAGTAGTAGTAGTAGTAGTAGTAGTAGTGTTAGATGCTGCTGTCTTGTTGCACCTGTTAGTGCTGCTGTTGCTGCTGTTGCTTTTGCTGCTGCTGCTCCCGTTGCTGTTGCTATTGCTGCTACTGCTGTTTCTGCTGCTGGTGCTGCTGCTGCATGGTGTGTTGCTGCTGCTGCTGCTGCTGCATGGTGTGTTGCTGCTGCTGCTGCTGCTGCTGTGTGTGTGTGTATAGGGCGAGGTGTATGTATACCTAGATACTGATGGGGTGATGGATATAGAGGAGATAGATAGACAGTGCAGGCTAGCAGCAACAGCACCTGCTGCTGCTTCTGCTGCTGCTGCTGCTGCTACAACAGCAGCAGCAAGACGATCACACCACCACAAACAGCACAAGCACCACAACCAGCAGCAAGAACAGCAGCAGCAGCAGCAACCAGAGCAGCAGCAGCAGCAGCAGCAGCAGCAGCAGCAGCAATGCCGTGAAGATGACTGGGAGGACGTGCCCTCAGTGTCGCTCTCACCAACAGAAGGTCGCAGCAGCAGCAGCAGCAGCAACAGCAGCAGCAGCAGCAGCGGCAGCAGCAGCAGCAGCAGCCTCAGCAGCAGCAGCAACAGCAGCAGCGACTTCAATGTTATGGGGAGAAGCGAAGAGGACTTCGGGCTGTCTGCAAGCCGCCCGGCGAGCAGCCCCGCTCTACCAGCAGCAGCAGCAGCAGCAGCAGCAGCAGCAGCAGGAGCAGCAGCAGCAGCAGCAGAAAGAAGAGAATGCTGTTCTGCTGCGGATATAGCAGCAGCTGCTCCCGCTGCTGCTTGGCCGCCGTCTCCCCGATGGGCTAGCGATAGAGACAGCAGCAGCAGCAGCAGCAGCAGCAGCAGCAGCAGCAGCAGCAGCAGGAGGCGCAAGACAGCGGATGCCTTGCTGCGATCTAGAGAAGCAGCAGCACCAGCAGCAGGCGCTGCTGCTGCTCCTCCTCCCGTTTCTCCTGCCGCTGCAACACCAGCAGCAGCAGCAACACCAGCAGCAGCAGCAACACCAGCAGCAGCAGCAGCAGCAGCTAGCGACCCATTACAGGGTGTATCACCTTACAGCTGCAGCAACAGCGGCAGCAGCAAGAGGAGCAGCAGCAACAAGACATTATGCAGCAGCAGCAGCAGCAGCAGCAGCAGCAGCAAACACAGCAGCAGCCCTAAATCTCGCAGCAGCAGTTCTGTCCCCCCCCTACCGGCTCCAATAAGCAGCAGCAGCAGCAGCAGCAGCAGCAGCAGCAAAACCAGCAACAACAGAACCATCCCCAGCAGCAGCATCCCGAGCAACAGCACCCCCAGCAGCAGCAACAACAGCAGCAGCAGCAGCAGCAGCAGGAGCAGCAGGATGAGGGTTCCTAGCATGCAGGATCGCAGCAGCAGACGCAGCAGCAGATCATCACCCAAAGACAGTGAAAATTTAATTCCAAAAAAAAATAAAAACCAAAGACAAAGACAAAGACAAAGACAAAGACAAAGACAAGATAGATGGCGTCGAGGCTGTCTGCTGCTGTTTCCTCTTAAAGTATGCAGCGGGGACGGGGTAAATGAAATATATATACGGCCCCTTCTCTCTTATTTGTCTCTGCCCTGGAGTGTAGGCATGATAGCCGGCAGGAGACAGCAGGCCTTCTTTTGTATCGGGTTTCAGGGAGATTCTATGCTCTATCTAGATCCGCATACACGCATACAGGTGCGTCTTTGTCTTTGTCTTTATTTATTTTATTTATTTTATTTTGTTTGTCTTTGTTCTGTTTTATTTTGCTTTTTTCTCCTCTTTTTCTCTTTTTTTTTTATTTTTTTATTTTTTTATTTTATATTCGGTATCGGGTTTCAGGGAGATTCTATGCTCTATCTAGACCCGCATACACGCATACAGGTGCGTCTTTGTCTTTGTTTTTTATTTATTTATTTATTTATTTATTTATTGTTTTAGTTTTTTTTAGTTTGTCTTTGTTCTGTTTTGTTTTGCTTTTTTCTCCTCTTTTTTTTTTTTTCATTTTTTTATTTTTTCTGTATCGGGTTTCAGGGAGATTCTATGCTCTATCTAAATCCGCATACAAGGATACAGGTATGCTTTGTCTTTGTCTTTGTCTTTATTTTTTTGTCTTTGTCTTTGTCTTTATTTATTTTATTTTGCTTGTCTTTGTTCTGTTTTATTCTGGTTTTTTTCTCCTCTTTTTCTCTTTTTTTTTTATTTTTTTATTTTTTTTGTATTTGTTATAAAGGAGACTCTATGCTCTATCTAGACCCTCATACGCGTATACAGGTATGTCTTTGTCTTTGTCTTTGTCTTTGTCTTTATTTATTTTATTTATTTTTATTGTTTTGCTTT